TCAGTCCCTTTGTCACCAGATAGGTACCAGAAAAAATCCACTAGAGGGAGCTAGATCACTTAGTCACCAACCTCCCTTCTCCACAGCAGAGTCACAGAGTTGCCAACAAACTGCAACTGGGTCCTGGCCAGAGAAAACTAAAATCCAGTGTACAATAATTGTGCTGCTGGACTGACACCTAAGTAAACAACCTTCCATACTTTCCTTTGCCTTTTATAATCACTTTGATATTTTTTTCTTTATGTGCTTGCTGTGCACTTACTTAGTTGCCTTTATTTCTATTAAGTCAATTGGAATTGTTCAGATTAGACTACTTAAGAAATCTGAAACCCCTGTTTTGCTTTGAAAGCTGCTGTAGACATATGTGCACTTGGTAAAAAGCTTGCTCTTCTCCCTGGGAAGCTTTTAAATGTATTTAAAGACAAATAAATGGCCCATATTGTGTTTAGACTGAGAGTGAAGTTCCCACTTTTGTTCTGGCTTCAGTTTGAGCATAAATAGGGCTTGAGTCTTAGCCTGTGGGTGAACCCACAGTAGGTAAGGGTGTGCTGGGGCTATTAGCAGGTGCCTCTCCATATCCCATTTCCCAGATACTCCTTGGATACAAGGAGTGGCAAGACAATGTGGGGGGAGGGGAGTGCACGGATCATGGAGGCAGGATTGCCCACACAGGCTGGAAGGCCCTGCCATACCTTGGAGTCTGTCTGTCCTGTGGCTGGCTGTGGAGGCCTCTGGGCTGTTGCCAGTTACCAGGTAACTGAAGGACCTTAGCCTCGTCTCCATTGGGACTGAGAGGCCTTGTGGTACAGAACAGCAAACTGGATCCCAATCCCGCCTCTTTTCATTTCCTGTGGTGCAGGTGGTAGGGAATCAAGAGAATCTGGTTTGAGTTTGTCCAGTTGTTTTGGGGGGTCGGTCCTAGAGATTCCAGTCACGATCTATATAAAGCTTTCTCCTTCATTCTTTCACACAACCTATTGTGATAGGCAGGGTTCCAATGAGGGAATACAATGAATGAGTGATATGTAAACTATCATTCTAAGTAAACAACCCTCCCTACTTTCCTTTGCCTTTTATAATTACTTTTTTTTTCTTTATGTGCACTTAGTTGCCTTTATTCCTATTAAGTCAGATGGGATTGTTCAGAATTAAAATATTTAAGAACTCTGAAGTTTTAAGATTGAGGTTCTATTGGTAAGGCCAGATGCCAGGTTTTCAGAATGATACAGGAATCCGTGCATGAGGTGGAAAAACTCAAGAGCACCAAGCAGAGGCCTGGTGATGGCTGTATCTGGGGGACCATGGCACTGGTAGGCTATTCAGGGAGGAGGTGGGACAGGGGGGAAGGCAGGAAGGAAAGGGTAGACTTTGAAAGTGAGAGTCTCCAATTTGTGGGGAAGAGGGAGAAGGAAAGTTGGGGGGAAGGGAAAACGGGAGAAAATGAGGGAGGCAACCCTTTGAAAAGAAATGTACTTATTATCTAGCTTATATAACTGTAACCCCTTTGTACATTACCTTTACAATAAAAGTAATACAAATTCTTACAGCGCATTCACTGAAAACTTCCAGAAAAGTTTATTCTTTTTTTAATATATATATTTTATTGTAAAGATACTGTACCAGAGAAGTTTATTCTGACTACAGAAGAAAATAAAAAGAAGTGTGAGTCTCTGATAAATTTCCACAGAGCCTGGGTTTTGGGTAACACTAACATTGCTAAAAGCCTCTGTCAGCCAAGGCAGGGGTAGTGAACTGCAGAAAGAGCTGGTACCTCCTGGGCCTTCATCATCCGCTGGAAGGATGCTGAGATGACAAGGGAGATGACAGATGAGAAACACAGCTGGGGACTTAGTTTGCAGTTGTGGGGACAGAAGGCATGGTGCCCAGTCGCCTCTTATAAACAACCCAAGAGTGGCATTTTAGGGGGGATCTTGGCTGTCAGGATTGTCTAGGAAGAACTTAGAGGGATTGTTGGAAGTGCAGCTCTGTGGGCAGGCAGTCTTAATCCTTTGCTGCTCTTTTTTATGTTCTGGCTGTTCTGATTGCAAGTCAACTTGATTTAAGGGAAGTCCCTAACTCTCTGGCATATGCTGAAGGGCAAGGCATGGCTATTTAGAGGGCTAATAAGTAAAGGAACTTCAGTGCTGTAGTTTCTTCAAAGCCATTCGAGGGACAACTCCTCCTGATCTGAGACTCTTGCATGTATGGGGCTGATGTAGTAGAGAGACTCCTTAACTGGAGTTACCATTAGAGATACCATTAGATGACATACACGGGGGAGTAAGGTAATTTCATTTTCTTGAAAATACCATTTGTAGTTGCCTCTCTCACCCTTCCATCTGTCTTCTATGCCCCCCCCCACTTCCCTATCATTTTTGTGCCAGTGCTGGAGTTTGAACTCAGGTCCTCATGGTCTTGCTTAGCTTTTTGCTCAAGGCTGGTGCCCTACCACTTGATTTATATCTCCACTTTTTTTTTAACTGGTTAATTAAAGAGTCTCAGGGGCTTTCCTGCCCAGGCTGGCTTTGAACTTTGATCCTCAGATCTCAGCTTTCTGAGAATCGAGGATTACAGGTGTGAGCACTGGTGCCTGGTTCTGTAGTTCTTTTACATCCTGCTTTTTGGGGTGTTTATATACTTAGGGAATCTTCCTTCATCCCATTTCTCACTTTGACTTTGGCCTTATCTCTTCTCTCCTGTTTATGTATGGCTGACACCAACAAATGCATTCTGGATCGGTTGAAGCATCAACTATCTGTCTTTGCTCCTCTTGGTGGCTCAGTGTTCCTCTCCTCTTTGTTTCAAGACCTCTAAGGGCAAGAGTGAGGCCAACTTCACATTCAGGCAGACAATCTGTGCAGTGAAGGATGCTCACCTAGGCCAACTTACGGAAGAGCTGAGAGGAACCTGAGAATTCCAATTAGGCTTAAACTAATGAGCTGGAAACTTTGGGGAAATCTCTGTGGCAATGGGGGAGAATGCGATCATCTTCGTTTTAATTAGCACTGGAAAAACTTGTAGTAGTTGGGCTGGTAGCTGGAGGAAGGGTAGTGTCTGGAGGGAACAAGTTTCTGAGAGCATTGCAAAGCGGGGATTCTAGTGGTGGTGTGGGCACGGGGCTATGGAATAAATCTGGCCTCCTGCATCTTTCAAGAGAGAGGAGGGAAGACCTTAAGTGGAGAAAGGCCGCTTGGAGGAGTACCCCAGGGAGCCCTCCTTCCCCCAGATGGTCTCCTCACAAGACTGGAGCAATCCTTTAAGGGTTGTGCATGGGGCCAGGCCCCAGGTCCCTTCCATCATCCCGCCTGCCTTCCTAGGCTGCCTTTGTTGCTTAATCAGGAAAACCACCTGCTGCTGTCTGAGCCACAGCCCACCCGCCGGCCTCCCAGATGGCCCTGCTCTTCAGCCACACACGGGGCCCCTGGGGCTCCTAGGACACCCTCAGAGCAGCGACCTGGGGGGTCGGTAGGTGTGTACAGTACCCTGTTGAAGGGTCCCCCTCACCCTCCAAGCCTTGCTATCTTGGGTACTCCGCCTGTGGAACAGAGCTGACAGCTCCCCCCCCCCCGTGCTCTCCCCTACTGGGGGGGCTCCTTCGGGGAGAAGAGGGCTGTCTGGGCTCAGGGTTCTCCCCAGGCCTCCCACTGAGCCCCTTGGGGGAGAGACTTGCTGAGTCCTGCGCCTAGGCTGGGGACGCTCCAGCCGGGCGCGCCAGAGGGCTGGAGATGGAGGTCTAGGGCGCAGGCTGGGCCATCACCGAGGGGTCCCTGAACCCCAGCGAGTCGGCGAGGCAAGCCTCCTCCCCTGGGGCTTCGGGGCGGCCTGAGCCCGCGCCCGCTCCAGTTGCTGCAGCTGCCACTGCTGGCGGCTGCGGGGAAGCGCGGGGCGCGCGCCGAAGGGCTCGGGTGGCGAGGACGGGGACGAGGAGCAGCCGGAGGAGGCGAGGAGGCCGAGGAGGCTTCGCGTCGCGGGAGACGCAGCTGG